AATGATGACGAATTTTGTGGAATAGAAATATTTGTTGGATCATTTAACTCTTCTGTAATCTTTTTTAACTGATTTCTTAAATAATTTAAATTAAGTTCATTAAAATCATTTTCTTTATGGATATGTTTTATTTGTTCACTTAAATCATTAAATTTCATTTCAATATCATCAATAAATGTTTGTAAAGATTTAATGACAATTTCTCTACAATCTTGTGCTTTTTGTTGAATCTTTTCAATTGAATCTTTTTCCCACTGATCAATTTGTTTTATTAATGAATGATTTTGTGGATTTTGTTTTCGTTCATTAACTGCTTGTTTAAATTCATCATAATTATTAATAATATGATTTAGTTCATCATTTAATATTTGTTTATGTTCTGCTAAATCCACAAAACAAAACCTTTGTGAACATCCTTCACAAGGATATGTTATTTTTTCTTTGTTGCATTTAAAACATTGTGTTTTGTTGTTTGCCATTGCCATGTCTTTGAACATAAGTTTAGGGAGCAAATGAATGTGTTCTTGCCTACTTTTATAAATATAAACTTCATGACTCAACGATAACAAAACGTTGCACGGTAGTAGAAGAAATGGAAAAAGCATTTTGTTATGACAACAATTAACTAATTGTGAGAAAACTCTACTGATAAAACTGATGTAAAATCCGAGGTGGTTGGACTAAAACTAGAATTTGATTTCTTCCTAATTTCAAATAAAAAACCAAACAATTTTTGTGATATTTTAATATAGATTTGGATGTCAGTAAAGATTAAACATAGATCTACCACTATAACTGTATCTACTAGGTGAATGATATTTCAATCTCTTATCTACTCAACTGCATTGTCATGTTCACTTTTATCATCATTATTATTACTTTCATTCTCAAACTAATTATTGTGTGATATTTTGTTTTATTCATCTTTCATATTATTTCAAAAAACAAACTTACACAAATGAAATTATATCGATATAAATAAGAATGCCGTATGTCTCCCTTTAGATTATAGATTCGATTCAAAAAAGGAAACCTGACTAAACATTTCAAATGAAGAGAAAAAGAAAAATAACAAAAAACATGTTTTCTAACGAAACAATACTGAAGAATGAAAAGTAAATCATACGTATGTGACAATTCCATATTAGCTCGCATGAGTTAGAACCGGAACTGATCACTATTCCCTCACTACAATTCATCACACCCGTGCTCTACAATAATTTATTTAAAGAATATTTTAATATTTTCAAACAAAACACACTTTCCCATAGTTCAATATATTCTTGAGAAATCAATCTAAACAATTTAAAACACAGATTTTGTAATTCATTTTATCATAAAATTTAATGATTTTTACCAAATATTTATCAACCTTAACTATTCTAATAAACGTTTACCTTAAGAGATTCTACTTTAAAATCTCAATATGAATCAACGAGTAATAAAAACAACGCTCACACCCTGATTTATTTTAACAAATTTATCAAAAATCAATTTTTTTAGGAAGTCGAAACCAACAAGCAAAATAAAATTGGAAAATGATATTCGTTAATTTATTAAATAAGAATCTTTTCAACACTTGCTTTGCTCAACAGAATTCATTACAATTCGAGTTTTATTATCAAATTTCGTCAAATTGAAAAACCTAAAATCTTCTATCAAATAAATTTTATTTCAATTCAATTTTGAAGAAAAAAAAACGTTTTTGTTCCTTGTTTTCTTATCAATAAATGTCTTTTTCTTCAAACTTTATTATATATTTTATTTAATACTTATTTCTCCATTTTTTATTCAACAAAAAATTTCTTTTCTTTTTTCAAAACTTCAATCACAAAATTATTTCATATTTTGTAATTCGTTCATTCGAATAATTAGCAACATAAAGATTTCTGTCATCGTCAAAACATAAACCCATGGGACTATTCAATTGATTTCCTTGACCATTTCCACCAACAACAATTTCACCTTCTTCTTCTTCTTCACACCAACGTATCACTCGATGATTCCCACTATCTGCCACATAAATTTGACCCAAATCATCAACAAATATTCCTTGAGGTGAACACAATTGATTAAGAATTCTTCCTTTACCATTTCCTCCAGCCACAACTGTTCCTTCTTTTGCACCTTTTCTCCATTTTATCACACGATGATTCTTTTGATCTGATACATAAACAGTTTGATCTCCATCAACAAAGATGAAAGTAGGATAATTAAGTTGATTAAGTTGGTTTCCTTGTCCATTTCCACCCGCCACTACAACTCCTTCATTGTTGTATTCACCCAATTTCCATCGTCTCACTTCATTGTTCTTCCAATCGTTAACATAAAGAAATCCATATTTATCCATTGCTAAGCCCAAACAGTCAATATTGTTAATGAGAATTT